AGGCGGTGCCCGGCGGCCCCACGAGCCCTGGGAGAGGCGGTCCCTCGTCCCCACATCCTGAAGGGTGACGGACCTGGTTACTTATCAGATTTCAGTTACACAGGGCACAGCTCTGACCCCAGTCCATGGTGTCCCCCCTGAACTCCAGCTCCAGCCCAGCCCAGGACAGGCCTGCAGGCATCTCTGATTCACACGAGACCAACACGGACCGAAAGTCACCCTGGGAGTCGGGTCAGCCACGGAGTCTGGAACAGCCTTCGGTAGGGAGGTGAGAAGGGCCGGCCCAGGACCCCTGGCTCCCACAGAAGGCTCCCCCGTCATTGGAGAAGACCCTCTCCCGGCAACGAGGGTGATTAAGAAAGCGTGGTTTTGCCCGTGACCAGTACACGCTGGAAGGCAGAGCCAACAGGCCTCTGTGTCACCAGGCCCTCCTGGCCTTGGGGAACAAGACGCAGCAGCAGGAGCTGGTCAGGACCACGTGCACAGCTCACCGCGGTCCCCAGACGAGCTAGAACATCACTGCGGGCGTCTCATCACCACACCCCAGTGCTGTTGCTTCTCAGACTGTGAACAACAGCACAAACCGTGCACCCCCTGCAAACGCAGGCGTGTCTGGGCGTTTCTGGGAGACTAAGGGCTGGAAAGTCACAAGTGGGAACTTGAGCTGCTGAGACCAAACAGCGACCAGAAGGTGGACGAGATGACCTGGTGGGTGGACGCAGACAGGGACAGGTGAACTGCCAGGAATTCGTCCACGTGCTGGTCTTCAAGTGAGGCTGGGGCGGACGCCAGAGCATCCTGGCTCCACGCTTCTCCCGGGCTCCTGCCTCTGGCTCTCGTGGGACCCTCCCTCTGCTCCTCAGCCCCTCCGGGCACTGACACTTCCCCAGGCGGCAGACCAGATCCAGCTTCCACACTTCACTTTCCTCCCTCGTTCCTGCCAACCTCCCCACCCTCTCCTCACCCAGGATGACACTGAGCCCCCAAGCCCCGAGTGCTGTGTCCCTCGGGAGCAGAAGAAAGTGCAGGGATGTGCACAGTCGGGACAGGAGGACGGTCACAGCCACACGGGCCGCCCGTCCACGGGGAAGGCACAGTGTGGCCTCGGAGAGCCCCCACCCCCAGTAGCATCCCCAGAAGGTCCCCAGACCCTCTGTCTGCCGTGAATCCGGGCGGACAGGGAATCCAGGCCCTGGAGAGAGGGGCAGGGATGGAGGCTGACCGCTGGGGGCAGGCTCCGGACGGGCACCGCTTCCCGTTCGCCCCGCCGGCTTCTTCCTGTCTGCCTCTGCCAGACCCGGTGATTCACCCTTTGAAGCTAGGAGTCGGCTGTAACTCGTTTGTGTTCATCTTCTTGGAGGGAAATTTGAATCAAAGAAAGAAGCCTCAGGGGACTGAAAAAAAAACGCCTGCATTCCTATCCCATTTCCTTTTCCTCTGGTTCCTGCTGAAACGATCCTTTTAAGCCCAGGGTCTAAAAGAGGCAGGAATCTCTCTTTCTGTGCTTTATGGAAATGCGGTGAAATCTTGTATGGGTGGGCATGGCAAAAAGAGAGGTGTCTGGGGCAGGTTAATCTTGAATATTTATTTCAAATAAAATGGAAAGATTGGTAGTAAAGGGTAGTTAGAAATCCACGCAGATCTCCTGCGATCTGCAGGCACGCTGGTCCCTGGTCGTGGTTCTTCCTCATCCACACCCGGTTGTTGGGAAGCGCTCTACGGTCTGAAGAGAGTCAGGGCTGGAGGGTACGCGTCTGGGGCAGAAGCAGTTAAGAGGCAGTGGCTCCTGCGTTCCACCCTGGCCGCCAGCCGTCACATCAAAGAACCCAGAGGTCGAGGGGCTCGCTTTTGAGAGCTGACTTTCGTTCCAAAGGCAGTGTTTCATGGGGCGGACACTACACCGGGCTCACCCAAAAGGGCTGCTGGCCCTGGGGCGGTCACAGAATCTCCACCAGTCCTTTGTCCTGACACCCCTCCCGCTGTGCAGGCTTCCCGTTTTGTCAAACGAAGAGCCTGGGCTTTGAGGCCGGACAGCCCAGGATCTCTGGCCTGGAGGTGACTGCTGCCCCAAGACCTGGGCCCAAATCACTCACCCCCCATGTGGAGAGCTGACACTGTCGCAGCCCCTCCTGGGCGCCAGGCCCTGCTGTGAGCACCTGCTTGGACAGAACGCGCTACCACCCTAGAGGGTGGCTGCCATCGTAACTTCCCCGTCGTACAAACGAGGAAGCTGAGACGCAGAGAGTTTAAGGGAGTTGCCTGCCGTCCCGCAGCCGGCAAGTGGCAGAGCTGCGACTGAATGCAGGTCTGTGCCCCCGACCACGCTCTCCGCCTTCCACAGCCCCTTGGCCTCCCGGTGACCTGGTGATAAGGGTGCCTGCTCAGGCGTTGGTGAGCATCAGAAATCATCTCCGTGTGCCTGATATGCAGTAGGTGCTTAGTAAATGACAGCTCCCACTGCTGTCCCCTGTCCAGCTCTAGCACTCTGTGAGGCTTGCACATGTATTTCCACCCCTTGAAACAGCCCAAGAGGCGGGACTGGCCCCGGGCGGTGCAGCTGGAGAGCCCCCTTCACGCTGCAGGACGAGGCTCGCGCTCTGACTGGGGTGCCCTGCGGCCTTGGCCACGTCAGGCTCATCCTCCCGCAGCGTCCGCTGTTGGGGCTGGCTGACCCCTGCAGGTGCAGACCCGGAAACAAGCCTGTGAGAGCAGACGGAGCATCCAGATGCCACAGGCGCGGCTCCCTCAGTGCCGGGAGCAGAGAGCCAATCCCGTGGTCACCTTGGGGGCTCCGACGAGCACCCCGGTCCCACCTGCCGAAAGAAACGGTGACATCACTCCCAGGAACGAAGTGATTCCAGTCTTAGTGTCTTTGACAGGACGTGTCCTCAGTGCTGCAGGGGGAATGAAACCGGTTAGGACGGGGATGGGTTCGAGGTCTCCCTCCCAAGTCGCCAGCGCGGACCCGGCTGGGAAGCTGGCATTCAACGCCCCCCTTTCCCAGCGCCCTCGAAGCATGGAGACCTGTGTGGCTGCCAGCACCTCAGCCAGAAGGGATGAGGGCTCTCTCTGCGCCTCCACCTGGCCTCCTGGCCACTCGGTGAAGCACATCTCCCTGTCACCCCAGCATCACACAGAACCACCTTGCCTGCGTCTAACAAGCCTTAGTGGCTGTCGTGGAGAAGCCTTGGGAAGGGGACGCGGGAGAAGCCAGAGAGGGAACGCGGCTGGTCTCCCGGTGACGCCCAGAAGCCGGGCTACGACAGGGGTCCGGGCAGGCTGGGACCAAGGTGACACTGCCCGCAGCTCCCACCTCTCGTGACGCTGAGCATCGGGGGGAAGCAGGCCCCCGGGAACCGGTACCGGCAGGTGAGCGCCGCGCCAGCCTCCTGTCTGCCCACGGGTGGGCCTGTAGGCGCTTCAAGGGGCCGCAGAGCTGAATACGCCCCCTCCCCCCGCCCTGGCTTTACTTTCCTGAACACAGTTTTTAAAAAAACATTTTCCACTGTCCTTTCTCATTTAATCCATGTCCTCCGCCAGCTTGGCCACATGACTCAGCCCCTCTCCTGACCTGCCGGGTTCAGGACAGGGGTGCAGGCTGCAGAGGCATGCAGTTGGGCAGTGCTGTCTGATTCTAGGGGGTCCCTGGCCTGGGCCGGGGTGGGTCCACAATGCAGTGGTGCATGTCCCTCCCGGTGGCCGACAGCCGTGGGGCCCTTCGCAGTGCCCACCTCCGTGCCAGGCCTGGGCGCCTTGGACTCAGTGTGTCCCCTGCAGGCACGCGCTGGACGCAGGACTCGGGCCCCTGGGGCTCACGGCGTCTGCCTTCAGCCTCCTCCCGCCTCCTCTCCATCTTCCTTCCCCATCTCCCTCCCCACAGCGCCAGGACCTGTCCTGTCCCTAGACACCTAGATGGACGTTTTGTTGGTAAAATGCAGTCCCTGTGGTTGCCAGGTCGGTCCCTGGCCTTGACGAGTAGCGCAGGGGGAAGGGGGCTGGAGCGCCAGAAAGGAGGCACCAAATACTCCTTGACCGGAGCGGGGCCCTGGGGACGTCAGTGAGGGTCCCAGGCCTGCGGATCAGCCATGTCTCCCAGCACAGACTCGGGGCAGCCCCCCTCACCCTATTCCCTTTTCCTTTCAGTCGTCAAATAACTGGACTCAAACCACCTTCCTTCATCCCCGAAAAAGGTGCTATCTGACTGCAGCTCAGAACATTCCATCCCCGGGGAAGGAATTTATAAATATCACCTCCCATAAATCAGTGCCAGGCTCCTGGACCTCCCAGGCTATATAAAGCCACTCTTCTGCCTCCTGTGTTTCCAATTTTAAATCAAACACAGCTCAGCCCCGCTGACTCCTCACGGATTCCAGGGGCCGTTCAAAGTCTCCCTGAACCAGCTGGCTAAAAATGACTCCGTTGTTCCACTGGAGAAATTTAAAACTAAAACTCACGTGCAGGGTGGAGACTGCCCCAGGATAAATATGAATGGGAACTGTGAGGTGTGTTTCTCCACCAAAAAAACAAAGAAAAATATTATCTCTGTGAAAGTCTGGGCCCAACCCACCTGCCGACCTCCCCACCATCCTGCTTTCTGGGTGGCTGTTTCTATAGCAACCAGGTTCTCAGAGAGACCCTGGACCCTCCCAGAGAAGGGAAGGGACTAGGCCAGCAGCCAGTGGTTGAAGGGCCCCCCACCCCGCCCTCCGCCCTCCGGCTTGGTGCCAGGTGCTGGGGAGGGGGACCCTTCCTCCAAGTGAGGGGAAGGCAAATATGAGGGAGTGGTCCTGGGTGGCGGTCTGTCATAAAGCTGGAAAGGATGCCAGGGTTTCCATGCCCAGGGGAGACAGTACCCATAGGGGCAATCCATGGAGGAATCTCACACGGTCCCCCAAACACCTTCTCGAGTCTTCTGTTCCTTCCAGTGGCCTCAGGATTTCCAGGGAGGAGAAGGATCCAGGCACTCAGTACAGAAGGAGGAGAAGCTTCTGGAGGCTGATGTCGGGGGGCCCAGGCTGTCTCGGCCAGTCACCTGGTGCCGCCCTGCAGAGGAGCTGAACTTCAGGGGAGAGACCACCCCCTCCCTCGCCCTGGAAACAGATCCCGTGCAACCCCGGACCCTGGTGAGCACGGTGAGTGCTTGCCCCCGCGGCGTGGGGCCCTGCCTGCGGAGGCCCAGACCCACGGGCGAGCAGCCCTGTCCCCAGACCGTTTCCTCTCAGACCCCCGTTCCCCTCACTGGAGACAAAGCAGGGTCCACTGGCACCACCTGCCTTTTTATTTTCTTTCTTTCTTTTTCCTTTTGGTTGCTTCTTTCTCCAGGAAGCACTGCTGGTGCTCAGGTGACCCCTTGACGGGGGAGAAGGCAAATCTAAAGGTATCAATCCCCGTGTCCTGGAGATGACACAGACCCCGAGTGACCCCCACAGGGGAGGTCCCGGCCGGGCCTGAAGCCCAGAACCTCTCCGGGCCCGGCTCAGCCAAGATGACAGATCTGCGTGGGAAAGAGGTGCTAACAGCCCGGAATGTGTGATCAGCCTGAGCTGAGCTCATAAATAATCCCTCACGGACCCCTCTCCCTGCGCCATCATCATCCCCGAAGGAGGGAAATTACTGCAGGGGGCCTGGACTAGGCCTTTCAGTCCAGGAAGGGAGGTTGGGCAGGAGCTGGTAAAGAGAGGCTCTTCCTTTCCAAGAAGTGGCCGCAAAAAATGGTCTTGGCCTTCCACAGAGAAGGCTTCGATCAGAGGTGAGAAAGAAGGTTGTAATAACATAGATTTTGAGAGGCCCACGGAGGAGGCAAAACCAGAGAAAACGTAGCCTGGGGGGAGCACTGCCTGGCCGAGGGGAGGTCTGTAGAGGCCACGAACCCCCTGTTGCAGACTTGGCACTGGGTGTTGGGAAGTCAGTGTCTGAAGTTATTCACAAAAGCTGCTTTAATGCATCCCAAGAGACATCAGCTGCATTTCCAAGAATCAGGCTATCCAAATAAAAATCTGGGTCCAAAGTCCTCTACGTAATTTTAAAAGCAAACTTTCGGCTCTTGGATGCAGCGTCCTGGTGGCTTTATCCAAGTCTCAGATTCTGCATAGTCACAACTTCAAAAAATAATACCCAACTCTGTGTTCCCCACAGAGAGACTCCAGGGATGGAGCAAGACTCTGTAACCCAAAACCTGTGAGGAAACTTTAGTTCTGGAGCCAAAGAGAGGTTTCCGCTGAACGGGAACAAAAACAGGCAAAGGGGTTTTGCAACAAGCAAGACCTCTGGTTAAAAAACCGCGGGGACGTCAGGAAACTCCAAAGAACTGGCTGAAAACAAGATCTCTTTACCCTAGAACATAGCGCCTTCAACAAGGGGGGTGAAACTGGACGCTGGAACCTGGTCCTGCCAACATTCTCAGTTCTAACCTGCCGCGCCCTGCTGGAAGGGGGGTGACAGGTACGAGAAAGGGCAGTTCCCTCATCTGGGACCACGTCTTCATTGCGATGGCTCCTTTGCTGTTGTGCAGACAAAGCCACACGGATATGTCGGGAGAACCGACGCCCAGATGTGTTCCCTTCACTGTGTTCTATTCATTCATGTGTGAATCTGACAGTTACTTGTCGAATGTCTGCTCCACGCCAGGCACGATGCTGTTCCCTGGAGATGAGACGCAGCTGCCTTCGGGTAGCTAGCAGTGCCAACAGGTGGGCAGCAGATCTAAAACACCTCCAGGACTGGAGCTCCTGTGTCACCCAGCGATGTGAGGTGCGTCATGAGGACACACGCTACGTCATCATGCTCATCTCAGAGGAGAGCAGAGGACTTGAGAGTTGCTGAGGCCTTGAGAGGAACTAAATCACCCCCTTAGTAACTTCCATCCAACCCTTGCAGGAGGCTTCCCCCAACCCAGCTTCCGGCTCTATAAATTTCAAACCTCGTTTCTCTGCTGCCGCCCCATCCTTCCGGGCCCTGGCACCTCCGGATGCCTGCCCGTGGCGGTGAGACCCGAGCACTGCCTCCTCGTCACGATGCCAGGGGTGGTAGAGGAATCCCAAAGCCGTGTCTCTACCAGGACATCTGTGGGTGACTCACGTGTACTCGGAAGGAGTGCAAACGTCCCAAATCAGAGAGGACGCCGTGACCGACCACACTCACAAACTGCGCGCGCACACGGCCACGCGCCCGGGCCCGGGCTTTGGAGAGGGTCCCGCTAGAGAAGCCTGAGTCTGCTTTTCACCAAGATCAGCGCAGATCTGGGGAGGCCATCTCCGCTGCCGAAACGCTCAGCCCCGCAGGTCACCTGAGGCCTGTGTCCAAGAGTTGCAAACACTTAAAACAGGCTCTCCATAAATGCCAAGAAAAGATGTGATGCCAACCATGGCCCCTGTTTTTGGATCCGACCTCGGCCCCCAGCCTCCCTCGGTTCCCCCGTCTTCCCCGACGCGCGGGCTTCTCTCCACCAGACCTCCTGTGCTGTCCGCTTTCTAGTTGTCGTCCTTCAGCTCACTCTGCAAATCTCATCGCTTTCTTTCCCTTCTCCCCTTTCCCAGACCTGTCCTGCCCGTCTCCTCCGTCTCTCCTCTCCCTCGCTGTCACCCTCACTTCGACTCTAAACCTTCCCTCTGTCACCTCTCTCTGTCTCTGCATCTTCCGTCCTCACTGTGGACTCTCTCCCCTGTCTTTCCCTGGTGCGTCTGCGTCCTTCCAAATACAACCAGCCTCTGTGCCATCCTCGCATTTTTCATCTCTATTTGCTAGTTGTTTAAGAACTTGCTCTCGGGACAAAGCCTTATTGCAGCTGGGTTTTTGTTGGTTTTTTTTTCCTTCCTGTGGCATGAAAGCCCTTGACTGGCCTTTCCCTCCAGGCTGCAGGACGGGAGCGAGGCCAGAAACAGCCAGAGCTACGCCGGGACCTCTCACCTCTGCTTTTGCAGGCGCTGGCCCAGAGGCAAGTGTTTCTTGGACGTCCTGTGTCTCAGACACAAAGGAGAAGAACATGTCAGTTGTTTGGAAATCCCTCTTAACTCTTGCTTCTTCTCTGATCCCATCTGTTTCTGTCTGACTTTCTACAGAAACCTACCCCTGTGTGTTCCTCACTCTGTTCATGGGTTAGAGCCTTGAACGCCCTCTGTCAGCACAGAGAACAGAACAAAGTCCCTGTCCTCGGGAAACGTGTGGTCCCGGGTCTGCAGACAGAAAACCATCCCCTGGTGCCAACGAAAAATTAACCAGTCAGTCTAAGAAAGAAATGGACAATTTTATTCAAGCCAAATTTGAGGATTATAATCTGCCCCCCCCAAAAAAAAAGCTCTGAGAGCTGTTCCGCCCTTTAGAAATCAAGACCCAGTTATGTAAGGTTTCTAAGACAGAGGTATGGACATCCAACAATGCGTTATTGACAGCTTACACAACGCAGATCTAACCGTCCTCCCAGTGGGTCGTGTGACGCCTTACAAGGTCAAGAGGAATGCTGTCTTTTAAGGAGTTGTTGGTGCTGGGAGAGCGCGGCCGCTTACGGTGGAGCCGGCGTCCCCACCGGCCCGGGAGGCCTGGTGGATGCCCAGCGCAGAGACGCAGTGCGCAGTGCGGGGAGAGGGGGCCAGAGGCCGGGAACAATCTCCTCTGCTTACGTGTTTCTTGTCTTGCCGTAAAATATCCATTTTACTTCACAGTAGAAATCTGAGTGATCAACTGTGCGGTGATGACCATCGGGGGCAGGTTACAGCAGGGAGAGCCCATCGTGAGCCTCAAGAATCAAGGGACACCTGGAAGGGGTGGGACTTGTGCCGCCCGTGGAGGAGGGGAGGGCGTCTTAAAGGAGTAGCGGCGGCAAGAGCAAATCCAGAACCTCAGGACCGGCGAGGTGGGGTGGGGAGAGTCCAAGGAGAGCAAGGGGGCGGCCTGGCGGGACAGTGACAGTGGATGAGGGGTGGGGCTTCCGCATCACGGAGACCGTGCATCACAGACTGACTTAGTTGGCTCACAGCAAGATGCCGCAGACCGAGTGGCTTCCACCACAGAAGTTTTCTTTCTCCCCACCCTGGAGGCTGGAAGTCCAAGGTCAAGGTCTGGCCGGGTGTGGTTTCTGGCCGGAGCTCTCCGCCTGGCTGTGGACGGACGCCTTCTCACCCGCCGTGTCCCCACGTGGCAGAGAGAAGCCAGGAGTCTCTCTGGGCTCAGCCCCATCATCAGAATCACGGTTTCAGGGACCAGAGCTGCATGGCCGCAGCCCAGGAAAGGACATTCCTGCCACCCCAACACCAGGTTACAACACATCAGGGGAGGATCCCTCTGCTTTGGTTTCTGTTGCATTCACAGGGCACACCTCGTTGGGTGTCCTGTAAATATTACACAAGTGGAAACTGACTTGAACAGTGTCGACTGCAGAATCTGGAGGCCCATGGAAGAAAGCCCTTCTCCCCACAGTGAGAATCAAGCTCCTTCTTGACGAATTTAATGGGTCAAATCACATGGGCTTCTTTGAAGTTTTTGATGCATGTTGCCAGATTACACTCCTAAAAACTGTGCCAACCTCTGCCCCCACCCCCAGCAGCGTGGGAGGACGCCCTGAGCGTGCACATCTGCGCTCCAGTGGCGCCTGAAGGACCCGTCCCACAGTTACCTGGTCTGTTTGGGAGCTGCAGGGATCCACGAGGCATGGTACAAAGACCCAGGAGACCGGGCACCCCGTCCCCCAGGCCTGCTGCTGGGTGGCGACACCACCTCCAGCAAGGCATTCATCTCCTCTTCTGCCAAAGGAAGATGGAAGATGGTAGCTGTCTGCCGGCCCTGCTCGGCGCTGGCGGACCGGTGCCGGAGTGCGGTGCGGGCGTGTTGTTGTAACGTGGACACACCCAGACACAGAGTCGGGCCAAGGGGTCACTTTTTGAGAAGCGCTGCTTAACTGGGTTGTCCACGGAGCCTCGAGATTTGGGGCAGAACTCGGGGGGTGGGGGTCCGTGGCTGGTTGGCTCAAAATGTATCTACTTCAACAGAACCCGAGGACAAACAACGCTTCCTTTTTCTACCGCAAGTGTGATTGCACAGCACACTGATGCGTCATAAGCTAAACACACACCCACAGCCGCCACCAGCACGGCTGAGTTAGGAGGGCAGAGAAGGCTGGGCTGCCAGGGAGCCCGCACCTCTGTTGTGGGGTTTCCTTATGACCGACAGAAAGTTCACCCTCCACTGGGATGAAATGTGCTCCTCTGGAATTCTGACCGTCAGAGCTCACCCCGCCTCGGTCCTACAGCCATGGCCGGTGCAAGGTTGCCCTCCTGAGTCTCCCCCAGCCAGGGCTTTCCTCTGTGGCCCTGCGGACAGTGGGCCCCTCGTCCACCCACCCAGACACCCTACAGCCTGAGCCCGGACTGTGACTGAGGGTCTCTACCAGGCACCACAGGGCATTTGTCCCTTGGTTGATGGGAGGTCCCCAGCCTTCAGGGTGATGAGAGGGGCAGCAGAGGCCGGGAATCGGGGGAGAGGCCGTGGTGGCACCCAGCATCTGGCTGGGGCCTGGTGATGAGATCCCGCCGGATCCAGATGTGAATACAAGACTCAAGGCGCGGGGGCCTCGGGACAGACCAGGTGAAGCAGATACACTCTGTCCAGAGGAGCCACATGTCGCCCCTGGAAAGGCCCGAATTCTAACTCCACCTCTTTCCACTAGACCCAGAGGGCTGACTGGAGAGACAGAGATATTTAATGGAGTAAGATTAGCTGTTAGGTAAAAAGTGTCTCCTTCTGCATTTCAGGCACTTCCCACATTTAATCATCTTTCATCCTCACAGCAATCTGAAAGGTCAGCCTTACACCCATTTTACAGATAAGGAAACTGAGATTCGCCGAAGTAGAGTAACTGGCCTGAGGCCACACAGCCAATGAGCACATGGGGTTGTGACCTGGGCGCCCCCGAACAGGTCTGTTCC